GCCATTGTTTGAAATAAAAAAATACCTTTTTACATTTTGCAAAAGAATTTATGATTTGTTAGGTTTAAGGCATTTCTCATTATGTGTAGCTTGTGCTTAATTTTGTAATTACCAACTTAGGTTTCTGGTCTAACTTGTTGATGGAAACATTTTGTTCTGTCATTCACAACACTTTCTACTTCAACAGCTGTGAGTGCAATAATTTGTTGCAATGGGCACACAGAACTCACAGAAAATACTGACAATTAAGGGGGTAAGGGGAGTTAACTGGTTATAAGTCAGGGTCATTAAACAGTAAAGATACAGTCTGTGGTCCACAGCAACACTGCTCCTCAGTCAGCAGCCACGTCTGTCTAGTCCTCAGGCTCTCAGCGATGTCGTCCCTTTGCTTCTGCCTCAGGGCCAGGAAGCCAACTTGCTGCTGGGTTTCAGTCACATATTCTTGGTGCTGGCTTCTTTGTTTTGCCGCCTTGTGTCTGTCTCGGGTGGCCCTGGTCTCAGTCTCAGCTACTTCAGAGATCTTGTTCCGTTTACAATGGTCCTGGGCTTTCTCTCTCTGCTCTTGCTTCATATATGGTTCATCCTTATAGCCAAGGTGGTGGTAACCAAAACTGATCAGTCCCCTCTATTAGTGTCCCCTCTTTGCATAGTCCCACCCAATCATTTGGTGGAAGTTACAGAGACCCAGACAGAATGGCCCTATTAAGAAATTTCACTCTCGCACACATTCATTGAGAGGAAAATACCTAGTAGCACGAAGAAACACCAAAACCAAATTCACTGCCATAGAGTCGATTTATGGTGATCCTATAGGTCAAGGGAGAACGTCCCTTGTAGGTGTCCAAGACTGTAACTCTTTCTCCTGCAGAGTGGCTGGTGGATTCCAACTGCTGACCTTGCGTCCCAGCGTGCAACCACTATGTCACCAGGGCTCCTGCTAGTAGCATTCATCACAAGCAAACTCACTGCTATAGAGTCGATTCCACACAGAGTGACCCCATAGGACAGGACAGGCTAGAACTGGCCCTGTGCATCTCCGAGATGGTAACTCTTTTATTTCTTTTGTAATTCCATCATATCACGAGACTGTAACTTTTAAAAAATTTTTATTAAAAGATCATTTTATTGGGGGCTTTTACAGCTCTTATAACAATCCATACATCAATTTGTATCAAGCATATTTGTACGTATGTTGCCATCACTACTTTCTAATGAGCTCTTAGTATCAGCTCCTCGTTTTTCCTTCCCTACCACCCTCGTGACCCCTTGATAAATGATAAATTATTACTTTCATCTCTTATACCGACTACTGTCTCCCTTCCCCCATGGATTTTATAACTCTTTGTAGGAGTAGAAAGCCCCATCTCTTTCTCCCAAGGAGCCTCTGGTGGTTTTGAACTACTGACCTTGCAGTTAGCAGCCTAACTTGTAACCAGTACACCACCAGCGCTGCTGCTAGTAGCACTAGTACCCAGTTTTTCTCTCTCGATGGCTGTAGCAAGTCTTACTCTTTAAAATGAAGACCCTCAAATATGTCCAGAAAACTGTTGCAGTACATGAAGCGGTTCTAAACCATCGCTGTTCATGAACATTTCAACTAATGATTACTCTCCAGCATATTTTTTTAATTCATATTTTTTTATTGTGATTTCAGTGAAGATTTACACCCAGCTGTTTAGGTTTCAACAATTTCTACAGAAATTGTTCAGTAACATGGGCTACATTTTCCACAATGTTCGCATTATTTCCATTCTGGTTGTTCCATTTCTATTAATCTAGTTTCCCTGCCTCCCTGGAGTCCTGGTGGCACAGTTATGAAGCACTTTACTGCTAATGTAAACCTCAGTGATTGGGACCTACCAGCTCCAGCTCCTCTTGGGAAGAAAAACGTGGAGTCAGCTTCTGTATGGATTCCAAACCCAAACCAAACCACTGCCAGCAAGTTGATTACGACTCATAGTGATCCTATGTAAACTGTCAAGAGACTTTATGGGAGCAAAGAGCCTCATCTTTTTGTCGAACAGCTTGTGGGTTTAGAGCTCCAATTTTGCAGTTAGCAGTCCAACAGTGGCACTAGGATTGTGTGTAGATTATAAAGCAGACTCATTGCGACTGGGTCATTTCTTACTCATAGTCACAGTGGGACTGCCTCTTTGGGTTTGAGGCGATACAAAATCTTTTTTTTTCTTCCTAGCCCTAACCCTAAATTTA